ATCGTCTACCAAAGTGTGTGCCAGAACCTGGTGTCACAAGCTACGGGCAATTAGTAGAATATACATCCAAAAGAATACCACACTACCCTACTGTCTCGATCCAAATAGACAGAAAATAACAATATAAAAGAAAAACTTCTTCGGCTGCAGATCGACATGGAAGGGAAGCAGCTCACCATAGAAGTCCCAAGCCTGCTCACGAATGCACACCAGAGAAATAACTGGATCCACCTGCCTCAGACCCTGTACATTTAAGTACAAAAGCGTAGCATGAGTACATAAACAATATGTACCCAGTGAGTATCCCACCTAATCTCGAAGAAATAGAGACGAGAGGTCAACTTGATACTCACTAGGGTCAGATAATATTATAAGTATAAGTTTAACAATGAAAATCTTTAATAGGCAGCAGTTACAACAAGGCATATAAGTCATATTCTCGCTAGGATTCCGATTAATCAATTACTACAGTTATAATTATCAATGCATTTCGGGCCATGAAAAGCAGTACTAGCATTTAACAATCTCAGGCAAAGCTATATAAGCATGCGCAAATATGCTGAGGCGACGACCCGATCCAACAGAAATAAACTGTGCACTTGCCGAGGGTCGACGGCGTGCCTATAGATGCATCTATTCATACCGAGGCGATCGGCCCGGTCCACAAATAAGTAGAAATATCAAGTATACACACAAGGCACATCAATAGTCATAAATTCCAAGCAAGACTTCAACAATTATACAAGTACGTTCTTAATCCCTTTTTAAATCTCTAGCATATCCTAGGTGCTCTACCCGGACCATTAACATAGCAGTAGGTACGCACGGACTCTCGTCACCTAGCGTGTGCGTAGCCCCCACATTTAGCAACAATTACACGATTATTAATCCTATGGGGACAGTTCCCTCTTATAATATTAAAAAGGAGACTCACCTCGCTCCAAAGCGCGCTCCCAATATCGAGAACAAGCCCAAGCTCTTATTTCGAAGCCGAACGATCACAAACTAGTTAAAATAGGTAAGAACTAGTCAATAAAGGCTTAAAAGGTCGAATTCTAACTATTTAAGTAATTTCTCAACCTTTTCCACAAGTTTACTAAATTCCGACCCCGGGCCCACGTGCCCGGATTCCAATATTTTCGAAGAAAATTGTTCTCTACAACCTAAGGATCAATAATATATAAATTCTAGTCCATTTCATAACAAATTTCATGCTTAAATCTTAATTTTATTAAAACCCTAGGTCTAGATCTAACCCTTTGATTTTATCTAATTTTTAGTGTTTAATCTACCTAATATACATGTATTTAAACTAATAATGAATGGGAGTAACTTACCTTGAAGTGCTATGATGAAACCCTCTCTTTGGAAGCCCCCAAATCGCCTAAGTGTGGAGTGAGAAATGAAAAAAGGCCTTTGAGTTCGAATTAAATGAACTCTCTGCCCAGCGATTTCCGCTTCTGCGGTGCTAGGACCGCTTCTGCGGAAACCGCTTCTGCGGAAATAGGCCCGCTTTTGCAGAAATGGCACAAGAAGCCTGGACCGCTTCTGCGGTCAGGTGCCCGCTTTTGCGCGTCCGCTTCTGCGGATTTTGTGCCGCTTCGGCGGATTTGGCCTGAGGCTATAGGGCCGCTTCTGCGGTTGGGGGACCACTTTTGCGGAACCGCTTCTGCAGTTATGAAGCCGCATCTGCGGTCTCCCTTGGCCAGGCCCTAGGACGCTTCTGCGATCAAATGACCGCATCTGCAGTCCCGCTTCTGCGGTCCAAGAACCGCAGATGCGGTTATCACAGAAGCAGCAACTTCAGCTATTTCTCAATTTTTCTACTTCGCTCGAACCTCGCTCGTTTGACGCTCGGGGCTCCCGAGACCCGCCCGAACACACCGACAAGTCTGAAATCACGAGACGGACCTACTCGAACCCTCGGATCACTGAAAACAACGCTAAATCTTGGAATCACCCCCTAAAACCAAATGAATCAAACTATTGAATCTTCAAGTTCTTAATTCTCCTCTAACGGGTCAAAACGCCCTTAAACTACTCGGATTGATACCAAATTTTACGGGCAAGTCTTAAATGACATTACGGACCTGTACCAAGCTTCGGAACCAAAATCCGAGCCCGATACCTAGGAAATCAATGATTACTTAGCTTCTTTAATTCCTTAAAGCTTCAATTAAATAATTTTAGATAAAAAAATTCATTACTCGGGCTAGGGACCTCGGAATTCGATTCCGGATACACGCCCAGGTCCCATATTTTCCCACGGACCCTCAGAAATTGTCAAATCACGAATCCGGGTCCGTTTTCCCAAAATGTTGACCGAAGTCAAACTTGATCTTTTAAGAAAGTCTTAAAGAAGCAAATGAGCATATTTTACTCAAATCCTTTCCAATTCCCGAACCAATCGCCCCCCGCAAGTGGTAAATTAGTTAAAGCAAGTACGGGAGGCTTTGTTTAGGGGAACGGAATTCTAAAAGGCAAAACGACCGGTCGGGTCGTTACATTAAATGTATGCAAAAGTAATATTACCGCTAAGGAATTATTATAAATGTGTGGCTGCTTTAACCAACATTCTTCCTTTTGCAGCATTAACAATAAAACAACATACAACCTCCACCCAATAGATTTTGGGCCCTAAACTCTGCTATAAATTAACAAAACTAAGCTTCAAACAGATAGAGAAGACAAGAGACTGAGAGGTTGTCGATTCACATCAAGATATAGCAGTGACAATGTTATTGTATGGAGTAGATGACAACAGGTTAACTCATAACCTTTAAAAAATAGAAAGTAAAAAAACATCCGGCTCTTTTACCCTATTTCCTTTTGTAGGTCTTTCTTCTTTAAGATAAGAAAATTTTTTTAACTAGAAACGAGCATACATCCTACTTTAGTAAGATACAAGCCAATTAAGATTGTATACGATTTTACCATACTAATCTCATCTTGTAACAGCCCAATTTTACCCAAGCAAAACATACTTCTTTGAAAATGGTTGAACAAGTTTGCCTCTTTTACCTTCGTTGAGTTTTAAACAAATAAAGAGACTAAACGAGGAGTACAAAATTGTAGTAATCTCATGTTGTTACCTTCTTGATTCTCATATCACTTAGGCAGAAAAACAAAATAATATCACTCCAAATGATACTTCAGTCAATTACATAAGAACAATCCAATCATTCGACCAACACTATCTCACATCTCTATTTGTGCATATAGCAGTAGACGACCAAAAATATCTACTCCATACACAAATCTTAATTGTCAGCAAATTTTCAACCCCCTAACCAAAAATTAATCTTTTCAAACAAAAATTATTAGAAAAAAAGAAGGTAAGGAAGAAAGAATCAACAAGAAACAAGAAAATCCAGTATACTTTTTTCCTTATTATCAATCAATATAGCTACAGAGAATAAAATAAACAACAAAGAATAAAATAAGCAACAAAGAATTAAAATAAGAACCTGTTGGGACAAAAGGAGTCTTGGACAAGAGAAACATAAGCCATAAGAGAATTCAATTTGGGTCAGTGGAGGAAAACCCAGTTGGTAAAATCGGAGAGTAAAGAGCTAGCGTTGGAGAAAGAGGCTATCTCATTGATCGAGAAGGAGAAGAGATGGTAATATCTGATATT